AATCTTCTCTGTCTATGTCCTTCGATCAACTTGGCTACAAACAACACCCACAAAAATGTTATGTGATTTTGCTCGTAAGGTTCTTTGAGTAGCTGTGATATCTTTTATTAGACCAACTGAGTAGTTGGAACAAAGTTCTTTGCAAGCTTTTGGGTACAAGTATCCTTCTTAGGCGTAGGGAGACTCTGCTGTTGGTCTGAGATCTCCAAGAAATGAAAGAAGCTAAAAGTGTAACAGGAGGTCAGTGAGAATCTAAATAGGTGGAAATTAGGAAAACAATGGGTAGTGGAGAGGGAATGGGTGAAGGAATGCCAAAGGCAAGCAAGGGAGACTCTGTTGTAGTAATGAGTTCTCCAAGGTAAAAAAGAGGCATTCTGTGAAAAAGCAAATAGCTGAAAATTAGAAAACAAGGGTAGAGATGGAGGGGTGGGGAGGAAGGTTTGTTTTTTATCAAACCTGTCTCATTGGTTCCAAGTGTTACAAATATAGATATAAACTGATTTCATTCTCCATTTTCCTTCATCAGTGGTCCTCTACATACTGACAGTCCTTCTGTATAATAATGCCCCTCATTTCTAATTTGACCTGTTTGTAACCTTACAGACTAACTGGTTCAGTAAGGCATAAGCTTTTGTAGGTGACAGACTACTTTGTCAAATTAGTAGCATCTAATAAAGGCGACTGTTGCCTATGAAAGCATATGACATTCTGAACAAATCGGGCAGAAGGCAAGGCAAGGCAGCACCCTGGAGACAAACCAGGTAACTAGGTCCCTCTGTTCCTAACCCTTTTGTAAGAACTTGAAACTATGTAGTAGTGCCATCTGGTGACTGCCACTAATATTGCACAGGACTCTTGTAGCAGTTCACTGGCTTACTGGGCAAAACTCTTAACACTTTCTGGTAAGCAAGAAGTAGAATTTAAAACTAAATTGTGTGTGTTTATTGATATACTGTCATATACTGTTTTCATGGGGGAGGGGAATACATGTTTTTGCAAAAAAAATTTAGCACTTCTGGGAGAAGGCCTAATGAATGACGGAATTATTGCTAAATTATTATATATGCCTTATGGAATATGCTAAAGCCCCAAATCCTTAAGGCTGCACTGAAAGTTAGTAAGCTTCAGTCCTCCAAAATGCTGAGTACACTGGTGTCTGTTCAGAAAAGCGAATGTGTATCCTTTGTTATCCTTTCCAATCTAACTTTGTTGGATTGGAAGCACAATGTAGAATTGAGCCCTTAGAGAACAATTGATCGTAGGGAATTAAATATTGGAACTTGTGAAACAAAATAATGGGATTCTATGAAGTATGAAAAGGGGACATGAAAAGGGTAATTGCCAAAAGTCTGACTGTAGAAAGTCAGTGGCCTATTTCTGGAAATAGCAACAAAGGGTAGACAAGTTCAACTTTTTTCCACTAATATCCAGTTTTCAAATCTCCCTAGTTCATATTGTTTGGCTATATATGGAAAGCTTTGTAACCATACAGAATTAAAAATTTGGACTAGATATAATTCTTTTCCATCTCCAGCACATCCATTGATGCTGTGGTACATGCAATGACACTAGTAGAGCCCAAAGCTTGGTACATTATTCAGAGCAACTGCTAACTTTTGATATTGCGACCTGGGAAAGATGGACGAATGGCAGGCCTTTCATGCCTTTTACTAGCCTTTTACTGCCAAGTGTTATATTCTGTAATATTCTAATGTGGGCAGATTTCAATGAAGCAAAATTAAAATGAAACAGAACAAAACAAATAAAAACAGCTACCATTTCAAGTCATTTATGGAACTGGATTTTGTGTAGTAGAAGCAGGTGTGCGGTTCTTAATAATTGGCATTGATAGCAAGAATGGATTCTTAACACAAATAAAAAACTTAGTTCCCAAGCATTATTTAAAAAAATTGGGAAATAGAGGCAATTTATTTTCCTATGTGAAGAAACGGAATAAAGCATAATTAAGAAGTCTAGAAAAAGAACATTCTGAGAAGTTAGAACTGACAATGAGTTTTTGACTGACTGCCCAGATCTGTGACTTTGTCTTCTATGTTGCTTAGCAACTCCATGTTATCACAAAGAAACTGATATTAAACTGGAACAGGCTGGATATGGTAATTTACGTGGGAAGATACTGGTTTCTCTTGCAGTAGGAAAACTATTTTATTTCTAGTCTCTGTCAGCATCGAGTCTGTTTCACATGACAAACTGTAGTGCATCCATTCATGTACGTTTTACCTAAAAAGGTAAAGAACAACTCCAGTTTGGGAAGTGACTGTAAAAATGATACCTTGTTGTTCACTAGATTTGATCCTTGTATGTCCTTGGACATATCTACCCACGTTGATGATCTTTTACAGTATGTTGAAACTAGTTCAGATTAGAGAGATTAGAGAAATTGATTATTATTGAATCCTTCTTAGACCTTTGCTTTGGTAGGTGCTGTGCAAGCACAGAGCAGAAAGATCATACGGTGCAAGTTGTTCCAGTTTTTTTCTTATACATCCAGCCTTGTCTTTGTTTTACCCATTGAATACAACGGACTTACACATCTATTACTCAAGGCATGGCTATAGTGGAGTGCCAGGGTGTCCCTGCTGGGTTGCTCCCAAACAGGCCCTGCCCATCCACTCCTGCTTGCATGCTTGAGATGGAGAAAATGTACATGTGAGGCAGCTCCGGGTCATCCCAGTGGATGCACCTAAGCTTGCTGGAGTCTCTGCATCTGCTGTCAAGACCAAAGACATCCCCTGGAATGGCTTTACCAATATATTTCTGTATTTGGGTATGCACATAGGAGTGGATGGTTGAGACTTGGCCTGGTCAGGACCCACTGCTGCCATGGTATAGACATAACTATACTGCCTAATTTGAATACCTTGAGACTAAATAGAAATAGCCCAAGTGACAATCTGCCAGCTTCTGTATGACTGGGAAAGAGACCACCTGCTTTCAGATCCATTGAGGAGTGGAAAAATTTGGCAGCTGAGGGTAGGGAGGGGAATAACTGAGCAAATTTGATCTCAACACAGGAGACATGGAATATAATTATTTTAAGGGGTGGAAGGTAAAGAACTGCACAAGAACCTTAGCTTTTAACAGAAAAAGATGTTTCTGAGGGTTCTGGTTAATTCAGGAATTCTTTTTTTTTTCTCTTAGTAAAAGTTTGTATTTTTTTAGCAAAAAGACTAGCTCAGCAGACTTTTCAGACTGCAGGCTGAAATGACCTGACCCAGCTCAGCTCATAGAAAGGCAAGTGTTAGGACCCATCCACCCGCACCACCACTACCAAGGCTTCTCCTGCTGCAATTTTACCAAATGCCACTGAAGCCCACCATCTGTGGGCTGGATCCACTGGCTCCATGAGCTGAATCTGGCCTGTGGGCTGTAGGCTGCTGGCCTCTGCCCTAGCTGTATTTCTGCTAGCCAGCTTTCCAGTTAGAAAAATCCAAGGAAATACTTGTTCTCTTACAGGAGTAGTCCAACTTCTTGCTGGCCTTATCTCTTCTGCAGAGTTAATTGAGACATTACGCAAGTTTTGCATTTGACTCAGTGTGTTGTCAGTTGTCCATATTATTAGGTGTCCATGCTACTGATGCAACTAACCTTACAAATATTATTTCTGGCTCTGCTGAGGGGATTTATCTGCTTGAATGCCTTTCCCACTTCCTGCCTCCTAGAAAGGAACTGCCAATCTGAGCTATGTAGGAAAGGCAGAAATCTCTTTTCCCTACCCTTCAGATGGCCCATAGTAGTAGTTCCCAAACTAGAGGTTGACTCCAAATTGAATCCTAAGCCTAGAGAAATTTCATTATAGTGGTTTGGCTTGACATGGTGGTCATGGCATAGAAATATTGGGAACCACTGCTTTGGAAGGCTTTGGGTGAGGAGGATAAGGAAGAATTACATTATACTTTCAAGAGGAAGAGGGCGTAGAAAAGTCCAGCAGCTCAGGGCAGCCCTGCTGTCCCCCAGCAAACCAAATAGGGCAGCTCCTCTCTGTTCTTGTCCCTTTTCACACCCCACAATCCTCCAATACTATGGGTCTGGTATAGGGTATGAGGGAGGGAATGAACAACCCTTGGCGTTGAAAGAAAAGTAGAAGTTAATTGAAGGGCCAGAAGCGGATGGAGGTCTGGGGTTCGTAATTAATAAGCTAGACAACTAGATGTATGTGGGACTTGTGAGACTGAGGACTTATTAGAGTTAGGAGGTTGGGGAGAAAATTAGGGATGTGTTCACATTCTGGGAGCCAGTGTGCCCAGGATGACCAATTTGGTCTAGTTTCACCTTCCCAAATGTATTGAATAGGGTGGGTGACACTTTAAGTGGAACCTTGTACAGAGGATTGGTGAAGGGGAATTCAACAAGCAAAAGATTAAATATGCATGACAGAATTTAGCTTAGTATTTGGATGTATTTTTCTGGGGGCAGATGGCAGTTCTGAAATCACCTACCTACACATAACAGATGGTAGCTGCCTTGTTCTTGGATATATATTGTAGCACCATCTCACACTCCACCCCTTTAAACAATTTTTCGATTTCTGTTTATAGTACATCAAGAGTTTGATCATTTGTGCTGTGAGGTTCTCAAAACAAACAAACCTGAATTAGAATATAGTAGGCATGTCTACACATTCATTAATGCGCTGTAATTGATGCTTCTGCGCATTAGTGCCGGTGGATGCTTTTTTGTGATGCTAATGTGCAATAGATCAATTTTACTGTGCATTGACACGGGTTTTCCATGCCATGCGACTGCACAATAGAATTAGTCTACTGCACCTTTAGTGAAGATGCACCTTCTAAATTCCAAGTTGTAATAGCATTCAGCAGCAAATTTTAAAATCTATTTTCTTGTTTGCTACAACTTTACAGAGTTTTCAGTTTAAGCTTTTAATGTGAGAAGTCACTTACATTGTGAAGCTGGAATTAATCTGCTAAAGTGAAATCTCTTTGTTTGGAAGGAAGATTAATTTCTTCTTTTTATTGCAGAGTACAGACAACTCAAACATATCTATAATTGCCGAGAACAGGAAGTGCTTTGACAATGACATTGTTTGCTCAAAAAGCATTTTCATCTCTGTTGGAGACATGGAGATTTATTTTAGTGAAACTTCTGACAAGCAGGTTAGTTAGTTATTTTCTTTGCTTGTCAGATTAACCTTTAAAATATACGTTCGAAATATATGTTTGGGGGGATTTTTTTTTTAATATAAAGTACCAAAAATATCCAAGTCCTTTATATATATTGGATGTCTATGAAAATTCCTATTTCTCCACTGCTTTTTCAAGCCCTTCCACTCCAACACCTCTGTTACTCCCAAAGGGAAGACTGTTTAGAGCTGTTCTCTGATAAACATTTTGCTACTTTGTTTCTATCATTTTTTTAAAGGAGGGGGGCAAATGAACCAAAATTATTGAACGTAGAATAAGAATCTTTAAAAACAAAACAGCTGAAGCTGCTCCTCAGCTCCCGAGTAACATGTCAAGATAAATGCGTTTATAAAAATATACCTGGAGCTAATTAGTGGATGGCTGTGGCTTGATCTTATTTGTGTTATAGAAATGTTGTTTTAAATATTTCACAAACATCCATTTCTATCAGAAGAAATCAAAGGGACAGGAAAACAGATCTACATATCAGCTCTGGAAGGCTGGATATTATACAGTGATACACTTCCCTGAGCAGGAAATCACAATCCTATGGGATAAGAAAACAACTATACATGTCAAAGTTGGACCCCAATGGAAGGTAAAGCAAAAGAGAGACTGTATGACACTAAATATATTGTATTTTATCTTAAAGAGGTTCATATGATGTGAGATAAGAATATAGGGAGATCCATGGGATTCAGTATGTTAACAGTTGATCGTTGGGGTCTTTGAGTGAAATGCTGATCACAAATTACGAGGTGCATGTAAATCTGGCTGTTGGCTAAGAATGTCTCTGAATTGAGTAGGGATGAAGTGGTGGTGTAGCTATTTTTTAGTGTATGATAATACAGTGATCACAGAGCAAAGATAAACATTTCCAAGTCAATGTCCAAATTTTGTAGCCCGCTGATTGCCTCAGTTGTAGTATTGTGTGCATTCAATAGAGTTCCATGTAAATGTATTCGACCTGGAGGGATGTGGGCAGTAGGGTTCCACAGGGCTCGGTCCTCAGGCCTGCACTGTTCAACATCTTCATCAGCAATTTGGATGAGGGGGTGAAAAGCACCTTGTTCAAATTTGCAGATGACACTAAGATGTGGGGAGAAGTGGATGCACTAGAAGGGAGGAATAGGCTGCAATCAGACCTGGAGGGTGGGCGGATGAGAACAGGATGGGTTTCAACACTGACAAGTGCAAGGTGATGCACCTGGGGAGGAAGAACCAGCAGCATACCTACAGGCTGGGGAACTCCCTTCTCGTCAGTGCAGAGGCAGAAAAGGAGCTTGGAATCATTATTGATTCCAAAATGAACATGGGCCGACAGTGTGGGGACACGGCCAGGAAGGCCAACCGCATCTTGTCATGCATCCACAGATGCATCTCAAGCAGGTCCAAGGAGGTGATCCTCCCCCTCTATGCGACACTGGTTAGGCTACAGTTGGAGTACTGCATCCAGTTCTGGGTGCCGCACTTCAGGAGGGATGTGGACAACATGGAGAGGGTCCAGAGGAGGGCCACGAGCATGATCAGGGGTCAGCAGGGCAGGCCCTACGAGGAGAGGCTAAGGGACCTGAACTTGTTTAGCCTCCACAAAAGAAGGCTGAGGGAGGATCTAGTGGCCATTTACAAATTAGTAGGGGGGACCAGTAGGCATTGGGAGAGTCCCCGTTCCCCCGAGCACTCCCAGGAGTGACAAGAAATAATGGTCACAAGCTGGCAGAGGGTAGATTCAGGCTAGGTATCAGGAGGCACAACTTCACTGTCAGGTGGCTAGGATCTGGAACCATCTTCCAAGAGAAGTGGTGCTGGCTCCTACCCTGGGGGTCTTTAAAAGGAGGCTGGATGAACACTTTGCTGGGGTCGTTTGACCCCAGTACTCTTTCCTGCCATGGCAGGGGGTTCAACTTGATGATCTGCTCAGGTCCCTTCTGACCCTACCAACTATGAAACTACGGAGAGGGCATTCAGAGGTGAGATGTCTCAGAGTTTGAAAAGGGGCCCCATAGTTGGAATTTGGGATCAGCCCTTGTACCTCCTGCTGTTTAATCTTTACGTTTGTAACCTGGGTGGTATGTGGACGGTATCCCCCCCTGCAGCTGAAGGGATTCAGTGGGTGTGCATATGCTGTGGGGAGTCTGGTTACTTAGCTACAAGCCAGCTCACCTCCTTTTTCTGCAGAGTGGATCAGAGACCAAGGACACCATGTGATACTTAACTATTTACAGGTTTAATGATACAGCATTATATAAAAATTGCAACCATGAACTTATGTACTTATGTCTGTGTGTATATGTATATATATGTATGTATATGTTATTTACAGATATAGGCTTACACAGGTCATAGCTCTTATTAACCCTTGACTCAGGCACAGGCGTAATCCTCTGTGGTGTTCCAGTTAGTCTGTAGCCTCTGCCCCCATTTACAGGGCCCTCCAGGCAGCAAGCAAAGGAGCACTTAATGATAAAACACAGGTTAATCAACAAAACAACGACAAGAATATCTGGCAGTGATGGGAGTATAATTGTACATGCACAATCAGGTTGCATCAAATTAGTCACAAATATATTCAGATAACCCATACAAGGAGTTCAGATACAAAACAGTATACAATCCTCTTCTAATACAATAATAAGGACGCAGGGTTACAAAAATCCCAAAGGCTTATGGAAAACAGACCACCACAGCTGTTCCCAAAAAAAAGAATGGCACCCAGGGAAGGATCCCGTTACCTAGAAGAACAACATTACCCTCTCTTAGATCCCTCAATTAGGATGGGGCCCATAACCATGAAAGCCTTTGAATGAACAGAGGCCCTAGACCCCTCTCTATGCCCATGGGTGAATTGTCTCCCCTCCATGGGGCTTCCCATTGTTCACCTGCAGTGGGGAAGGCCCCTCCTTCCCTGTGGGAATCCCCTTCCTGGGTAACTCATGACTCCCAGCAGTTTTTTGAGGGTTGGGCTCATCTCTATCCATGTAGGTGGCGTGTCCTCCCTCGCTGGGCGTGGTCGTCCCTGCAGTCACTGTTCGTGGCAAGAAAGGCCCGAGCTGCCTCATGCAGCCACTGGGGCCTGTCAGCCCTCTTGCCCCATGCACCACCCTGCGCACCAAGGAGGCACCTGCCTAAGGCAGGAATGGGAACCCACGCTGCCTCATACAGCCATGGCATACCATCAGCTCTACAACCCTGGGCACCGATCCATGCACCGATGGCCTGTCTCCTGCCTTGTGCAGGGTTGGGAACCTGCACTGCCTTGTGCAGTCGCCATGTCCTGTCAGCTCTATGGCCCTGTGCATCAATCTTTGCACCGATGACCCAGCTCCTGCCTCTTGCAGGGGTGGGGACCGGTGCTGTCTTATGCAGCTGCTGCGGTCCCTTTCAGCTCTCCGCCAGCCCCATGCACTGCTCTGTGCACTGAAGGGGCTAGGTTCCTGCCTCGTGCAGGGTTGGGGACCTGCACTGCCTCGTGCAGCTGCCGAGGTCCCGTCCGTTTCTGTATCCTCTCCAGCCCTGTGCACTGACCTGTGCACCGAGGGCTCCTGCCTCATGCAGGGTTGGGGACTCACCCTGCCTTGTGCAGTCACAGCTGTCCACCAGCCCCGTGCACCACTCTGTGCACCGAAGGGGCTGGGCTCCTGCTTTGTGCAGGGTTGGGGACTCACCCTGCCTCATGCAGCCATGGTGTCCCTTCAGCTCACGAAGCGCCGTGCAGATCTCTGTGCACCAAAAGGGCTAGGCTCCTGCCTTATGCAGGGCAGGGGACCTGCACTGCCTCGTGCAGCCACTGAGGTCCCGTCCACTCCTGGACACTGTGCACTGATGCTGTGGTTCCCTTCGTGGTGCAGCTGAAGACACAGCTGCTTGCTGCTCCCTGCTAGGTGGCAGCATCTTCTGGGCATTTCTGGGGCAACTGCACCCTCCTGCTGGTCAGCTCTACTAGGTCTTAACAAGCCCTCGTCTTCGTTATCCCTTGCTGACAACCGCCCGTGTGCTGGGCAGGAGGGCTTTTATCCCTTCTGGAGGCTCTGCCCCAGATTGAAAATGGACCAATAGGAAAGCCTGGGGGGTTAGTTTCCCCCTCAGCTCCTCTTCTTCACCCTGGCCCTAGGTCAGGGAGGGGCAAGCTTGCCTCCTTCTGATTGGTGGAAATGCCCCACCTGAGCCATTTTGGGCTCAAGTTAACAATCTGGTGAGCCCACCAGCCAGCCTGCCACATATTCATGGCCTCCCAGGAAGTGTCTACATTTCCCTTGAACAATAAACAAGCTAATTATCAATCCATTATTGTTTTCAGAAACCAGCTCCTATGTTATAATGGTACTCCTAAATGTTTAGGAATCATCCTAGATAGAACATTGTCCAATAAAAATCACTTAACTATGACAGCAGCTAAGTTCAAAATCCATAATAATTTGCTCCAGAAACTCACTGGGACTTCTTGGGGACCTGCTGCTGATGCAATGAGGACAGCAGTTTTAGTGTCCCCCAATCTGGTAAAACAGTGCTCATGCTGATAAGGTTGACATAACTCAACCAAGCAATGCAAATCATTACTGGAACAATCTGATCCAACCCTTTCCAATGGCTCCCTATTCTTAGTAACATACATCCTCCCCCATTAAGGAGAAAAATGCCTTAACTAAATTATGGATTAAAATAAAAAACCCTCAGCTGCCTATACATGAAGATCCCTTAAACTCACTGTGTCCAAGATTAAAATCTAGCCATCCAGCTTGGAGAACAGCAATTCAATTTGAGCAAGACTCATTTAACATCCAAGATGCCAGGATGCAAGAATTACTTAATTCACCCCTTAATACAGATATTATTATTAGAAATCTGATCATTAGACCAGCTGGCTTTGATCTTTGTAGACATGTGGCGTAGGTACAGACAGTCAAAAAGCCTGAGGCTGAATCAATTGGCCAAGTTCGTGGATGACACCAAGTTATGGGACTGCGTGGTCATGCCTGAAGTTAGGCTGCAGATTCAGGTGGACCTGGACAGGCTGGCAAGTTGGGCGGATCAGAACCAGATGAAGTTCAACACTGAGAGGTGTAAAATGCTCCATCTAGGGGCAAACAATCTTCAACATACCTACAAGCTAGTTGGCACCAATTTGACTAGCACCATGACCAGAAGGGACCTAGGGGTAATAACTGACCATCGCGTGAATGTGAGCAGTCAGTGCATTGCTGTAGCCAGCAGGGCAAACAATACTCTGGCATGCATCAACTGATACATCTCATGTGAAACCAAGGAAGTGATTCTTCCATTGTAATCATCACTGGTGAAACTGCACCTGGAGTACTGTGTCCAGTTCTGGGTGCTAAACTTCAACAAGGACGTGGAAAAACTTGAGAGAGTCTAAAGAAAAGCCACGTATATGATCAGAGACTTGCCAGGCAGACCATCCGAGGAGAGTCTGAGGGACTTGGGCCTCTTCAGCCTAAAAGAGAGAAGGCTAAGAGGGGACTTAGTAGAAGCTTACCGCTACACCAGGGGAATATGTCAAGAGCTCGGTGAACAACTGTTCACCAGGGGACCCTTGGGGAAAACCAGGAGTAATGGCCAGAAACTCCTGGAAGACTGCTTCAGGCTCAACTCTAGGAAAAATTTCTTCACAGTCAGTAGAGCTGTGCGAAGCTTTGGTTGATGATTCAATTCAGCGGAGATCTAGCCTGATTTGGTGGCTGAATCTCTGAATTCAAATCAAATCAGGAGACCCTTTAATCTTGAATCGAATTGGAACCCTCCGAATCAATTCGGAGAGATTCAGAAAGATTTGATGATTTGGACATAGACACAGCTTTACATGTTTTTTCTACATAACTCAAGGTACCAGGTGGCTCATGAATGCAGAGATGGTGGGGTAGATGGACCATCCCACAGGAGCTCGGGGGGAGTGGTTCCCAACGTGCTCGGCAGCAGACCCGGAAGTGGACCAGAAGCACTTCTGGTCCACTTCTGTGTCTGCCAGGGAATGTGCAGGGGAGCTCCCCTCTGCCCCCCCCAGCTTGGCAACTGGTGCCTCCTGGTTCTGGGGGGGCACCCGGGGTCCCTCCCAGTGGCCAATCACTGAGCCTTGGTGGGGGGGGAGGGGGCCCACATGCTCAGAGGCAGACCCAGAAGTGGACTGGAAGTACTTCCAGTCTACTTCCAGTTTTGCTGCCAAGCAAGTGGGAGGCCCCCCCACCATGCTCCTGTGGTATGCTTCATCTGCCCCACCATCTCAGCATTCACGAGTCACACCTGGTACCTCAAGCTATGTAGAAAAAACATTTAAAACTGTGTCTATGGCTGAATTGCTGATTCTCCGAATCAGCATAGAGTCTTCAGATTCAGGTTCAACCGAATTAAATCAGGACAGTGATCCAAATCAATGAATCAAATCACTGTCCCTGATTCAGGCCAAATCCATATCGAATACGGCCCATTTCACATACCCCTAACAGTCAGGGTGTCTAGACTGTGGAATAAATTCCCCCCATAGGTGGTGCAATCACCTATCCTGGAAATCTTCAAGAGGAGACTGGACAGTCACCTTGCTGGGGTTACCTAACCCCAGTTGTCTTTGCTGCCTAGTGAAGGTGGGCAGGACCCAATGATCTTGCAAGGTCTCTTCCAGCCCCTAACAATCTATGAATTCAGTCTTTGCAGGTTAGTCTAAACTGCACAGATTAAATTGAAACAGAAGTAAACAGACATTTACTTTTGATTCAGGAAATGCAGCCACATGCCTGCAGTAGCTCAGGCCAGAAGCCAAGGGGTGCTACAGCATGGCTCTCTGGCTGTGTGTTTGCTTCCTCTTCCTGCAGCCCCCAAGGTCTCTGAGATTCGCAGTCCAGAATTAAAGCAGCAGGACTCTGCATGTTTGCTCATCACTTACTTTCCCTTCTTCCAGTTGCCTCTGGGATTTGTAGTCCAGAGTCATAGCCAGCAGTAAGTTTGAGTTGGGGAATGGGGTGTTTAACACTCCCCTCCCCCCCCCCGCAGCCCCAGAACCCAGGGCTTGCTTGGGGGGGCAGTCTCCACCCCCTCCCCTGCAGACTGGGCTGCATTCCCAGCCTGGCATGCCCCCACACCCCTTGGTCAGTCAGCCCTCACTGTTCCAGCTAGGGAGCAGAGAGGTGGGGCCAGCCCTGGTCTCTGGAGCAGACAGCCCAGCCCAGGGCTGGAAAGCATGCTGGGCTGCTGGGGGACTGTGACTTAACTTAGAACAGATAAGGGTCTGGGACAGAAGTTTCATAGACTGGTTTGACCCAAATCAGTTAAATCTGATACTACATTCAACCAGGCTTATTTTAAACCAGTTTCAGTCATTTTGAAACTGGTTTATGTGCACTGAGCTTCTTTTCTGTTACAGGTTTAAACCAGTTTCTGATCACTTCAACCGGTTTATTCTGTCCCTAGCCCTTTGGTCTTCTTTAAACTGAATCAGGACAGGATAGGATATGGCAGATGTGGATTTCTGTTACATCGATGGGGCTGGACTAGCTCACTGAACTATAACTGTTATAGCTATGATGGTCCAGGAAATAGGCAAGAAGGGTTTTTTGGTGATAGTCTTTGAATCTTTAAGTGTATCTTTAGATATAAATGTTGTGGCTCTCATGTAGTCATAAATTTCATAACCTAATTTCATAGGAAGTAGCACAATTTAATAAAGTGCAGTTCTGATCTATATAATATCACTAAGATGTTTAATGTTTCTTCATTCAGCTCAGGAAAGAAAGGGACTGCAGCAGTAGGACCTAAAGGACCAAACGTGTATTAAAATAAGCCACAGTGCTTTGGGAATCTACATGCCAATCAGTCTTGATTTTATTATTGCACAGAAAAAGAATTCTTTTCTATATATGTATATTCATTACCAGTACATACCAACATTAAGGATGCTACATCTGACTGGGTTTTTGTAACTGTTGTGAATGTCCTTGCTGTTCCTGAGACTATAGGCAGCAGGGTACTAATGATAACATCTAGTCAGGCTTCAGGGACATGAGGTCATATATTTGAACTTTTGATTTTTGGATTGAATTGTACTACCAGATTTCAGAGGAAATGTTGAAGGGAACATAGCACCTTTCTTCAGTCAGGCAGTAAAAGCAGGTTGTGGAAAACAAAAAATTGAAAGACAAGAAAAGAAAAAGGACAGCTCAGATTTTAAAAAAAATTACCATTTTGGACAGCTAAATGTATGGAGTTTCAAATATTTTCAAAATGTGGGGCGGGGGTATAATTATCCTGAAAGACTGAGAGGAAGGGAGGGAGCATTAGTTTAAGTGCTGCAAAATGTTTGTCAAGTTGTTGTAATTAATGTTGAATACTAACAATGAGATACTGAAGTACTTTCAATTTTAGGGTAAATTGGCGGGTTTGTGTGGAAATTTTGACAAGTACACTTCAAACGATCTGACAACATCTAACAACATGGAAGTGAGAAATGCTCAGGTTTTTGGAGAGAGCTGGACAATAGGACAGGTAAGTCATTTTTTTTTTGCCACTTCACTGTTTATTTGTAAGGTATTCATTATTAATGAACATGTGAACACTTAGAGTGCTGATATCTTCTACACCAGGGTGGTATGGTACTTTGTGGTACTGTGAGATCCCTTTAAGGGTGCAGCGGAGTTCTGCACAATGTTAGCATTGTTAGGTGTGCAAGAACCTGCATACAGTTCACAAGATTGACCCAAAGACTTCAAATAGGAATTCATGGCAAAAACATTGAGACCTATTGTAATCTTTCTGGTTCTTTGCAATAGACCACTTGCTCTATTATTTTTCCATAGTCAAGAAATGAGTGAAACCTAAGAACAGGTATTTTCCGAGGAATGCCTTGAGTCTAACAAAGGTTGAGAACCAAGTTCTAAACTGCCAACTTAATCAATGCACAGAAGGAAATCTGAATACTTCTACAGCAGAGGTGCTCAACCTCTGGCTCACAGGCCAAATGCTGCCTGCCAGAGCCATTACATCTAGTTTGTGGGGCTCCCTATGAGGCGGGAAGTTTGGTGGTGGGGGAATAGTGGCCATTTTAACGTGGTCACCCTCCAGCCAAATTCACAGACTCCAAGGCCTGCGCTGTCGGTCACAGCCGGGCAGTGCTCCCTTCCCTACATCTGAATTGGGGCTGAGCCATGCCCTGTCACCTGTGAGGTGAAGCCACTTCCCCTTTCCTCACAGAGCTGGCCCACACCCCTCCCCCCACCAGGCCTCATCGGGCTGGTCCATGCCTCCTTTCCCTTGTGCAGCCACTTGGAGAGGCAGGCCATGCCCCTTTCCCTGTGGGACCAAGCCACACCACCTTTTCCCAGGGACCCAGGGGAATGACTTGGGTTTCCCTTTCCACATTGACCCCCTGACAGGGCTGGGTTTGGGCTGGGCCATGCCCCCATTCCACTGCTGGGCTGGTTCCAACCTGCTTTGATGCCTCCTTCCTTCCTCAGGACCAGTCCACACCCTCTTTCCCCCACAGAGCTGGGCCATGTTCTCCCTCTCTGCAGGTCCAGGTTGGGCCATTTCCCCTCCCCTCCCATGGCCAAACCACACACACCCTTTTTCTCTGTGGAGCCAAGCCACACTCTTACCCCCTGGGTGGCACTATGCCCCCTGCCCCTACAGGGCTGGGTTGCAGCTTGGCTTCCCCTCCCCCCAACCCTGGGTGGCCAGATGTTACCCACTGCACCTGCTGTGGTGCCCGTCAGGACCAGTGACAGGATCCAGCCCACAGACAGATGGGGCACTGCTCGCCAGGCCTGAAGAGGGAAAAGGTTGAACACCACTGTTCTACATCATTTTTTCTATGAAGTTTGGAGGTGGCTCTGGTACTACATTTCCTGCCATATCTTGACACACATATGGTGCTAGGCTTCGCTGAAAAGCCAAAGTAGTTTCCAGATGACTGTTTATGAACAAAAAATCATATTTTATATAGAAAAAAACTAGAGTTTAGCTATAGTTGTGAATTTACTCAAATTTAGAGTTGTTCTGGATCTGATATTTTAGACTGGGCCCTTATTTCTTCTCTCTTGAAGACAGGTATGATGTGGCTTTTCCAGAAATTCCAGTTGATGACATTGATTACAATAGTGTGCTTGTACAGTGCTGAGCTAGAAAACTTGAACCTTGGGAATTCAACAATGACTTAAATTTATTATTTTAAATATTCAGTTTATAGACAAAGACCTAGCTGGGATAGTAGGAGTGATCAATGGGTTGTTGATGGCATAGGGAAGGATGACCCAAGGTACTGCCTATGGACCTGTCATCCAGCCCATGGGGATCCCTATGGGTCTGAAAATTTGATGGCAGGAGATGCAGTAATTAGTGCTGTGTCTGCTTCCCTGCTGCCAAATTTCAAAACCAGTGAGGAGTCCAGTGGGTCAGATGACATGGCCCCCCACAGTGGATTGGGCCCACAGGGCCAGATGAGCTGGACAACACTGGTGTAAATTATCAGATACAAGTAGTATATAAAGTACTTATCTAGGATATGGGAGACCCAAATTCAAGTTAACCATATCAGAAGTCTGAATATAGACCTCCCACTTCTTAAGGGAGCACCCTAATTACTGTGCTGTAGGGTACTCTGCATTTGGTTGCCTTCAGACTTTCCTTTTGGAGCTGTTTCACCTTGAACAAGGTACTTCAGTCAGTGATCCAGGGAGAGAGAGATTTGAGTTCCTATCTTTGCTCCCATTAAATATTTAAATATTTTACAGAGAGTGGAACAGCTTGAGTAGCAGAGATTAAAAAGAATATATTATAGGGATAGTTGATATACTGGTGCTTCAGGCTCCCTCTGGCAAGGTGTGAATTGTTTGTTCAGATCCCTTCAGGAAGAGGAGGGAATTGAAATGAGATGTCCTACATCCTGAGAGAGTGCCTGAATTGTTGGGCTGAGTAAAAGGAGACCACCATTACAACCTTGTATGAAGGTTATATAGATCTAGCCATTCATTCATTGCTATGCTTTTGCTAAAAATACTTCTGAAGAAAATGAAAATCCAATAGAACCACATTTCCATTTAAGTGAGGAACATTAAATGCTGTCCATTCTTAGGCTTCTTTTAAGGTTGTATACTTTTAGAAAGCTGCATCTCATTTCTTGCCTGGTATAAACTCAAGTGGTGTGTCCAGATGAGCATGCATGTGCAGGGGTGTGCATTTGCTATGGCACAAATAGCAGCAGCACATATTTGTGCTTCTGCTTTGTGCCCCAGGGCACACCCCTGCACATACATTCTGGTATGCTCTAAATTGTCCTGGGTGGGGTAGAGCAGGCTGAGAAGAGCACCTGTGCTGGCCCCAACAGCTTTACTTGGGGCCCTGGGGGGCTCTCAGGACAGCAATGATGCTGATCTGGCTGCACTGAGCCTGGAGCATAGCTGCATATGCTGCTGCTGCATGTGCCCATGCCACTTTTCTTTAAAAAATAAAGAAAAAAAAAGTGTTTTTTGACACCAGGATCTCCTGGTATCAAATCCTGGTATTGCACTGCATATTTTCAGTGCAGCAAATGGTTGCACATGTGCCATGTGTGGTTTGTAGCACCTTAGACAGCCTTGGGGCACTGCAAATCATACATGCACGTTTATCTGGATGTGCCCTAGGTGTCTTTCAGCATTAATGCTTTCCAGCCTTTCCTTGCAACTGAGGGTAATATATTTTGGATGAACTTGCTGTTGCCAAGTTAAGCGTCATTTTGTTCTTTTTTTTTTTTATTTGTTTTTCTTTTTGCAGAGAGCTTTTTTTTTAAAAAAAAGTTTTTGTGTTATCATGATGACTTTTGACTTTGTTTTTTGAGTTAATCTGTTCCTACTGTTGTTGCTTAATTTGAATTTATAGGGCTAAAGTTAATGCTTGCGTGACTCCATTTAGAGTCAATAGCAAAACAGCAGAGATGTGTTTGGCCTATAAAGTTCTGTTTGTGAAATTACTACTGGTTGTTCTGGAAATTATAATTATGTTTCACAAGGAAAACATTTTGTCTTCATCTAACAAGCAACAGGCAAGAACTAAAAGCAAATATTCTTTTTCATACAAGCATTTTTAACTATAGAATCAAAGATGGGCAGAAGAGCCCACATACAGAAAATTTCCCCTATTTAGTCTACCTTTTCCAGTTTCCTGCAACTGGGAATTCTTATTTATGATATAAAAAGTATATTGCAGCCAAGTCTATAGTAAACTTATTTCTATAAATAGCTTCTATTCCTTTCTTTTGTTTTAAGTGCAAAACCCCAAATGAAACTATTAAACCATGTGAGGTGCATCAAAGCAAGTTCCCTTATGCCAAAAAGGAATGCTCGGTTTTGTACAGTGATGTGTTTGCGCCTTGTCGTAATGTGGTAAGTTAGCATTTTATTTAATATTCAAAGATCAACTAAGTTGTTCTGTAACAAATAAATAATTGGTGGTTCATGAATATTTGGCTACTGAGACTCAAAACAAATCTATCTGAATATTATAGAGGACATTGGATAAGGGCCCAATCCTGCAGTGAGCTCCATGTGGGTGAGTTCCTGCATTTGCAGAGTTCTTTGCAAGATTGGAGCTTAAGTTTGGATCATAAAGGTTTTGGACATTTGGAAGTTTCAGTATTATTAAATGTCATGGATGTGGCACTCTGTTAGATAACAGGATATCTTTGGTAAGTAAGATTTTTTGATAATTAATATTTCTATTTATGGTTTTTATTCTATGGCTATGTTTAAGGCTACTTGCACATACTGAAGAATTCTGAAAATATGAAAAACTCATGTATCATGTTGTCACATGTGGCAAGTAATATGAGAAGCTGAAGACACACAAGTATGGTTTCACCTTAGGGGTTCTCTTCTGTTACCTGTTCTGCTTGATACCTTTAGAAGGTGCAGGAGCATGAGAAGTTTGACTTCAGAGCCACTACAATGTTATGGATACACTTAGTCTAGCTTTATCAAAGCTTTATGTATGATGCCTTTGCTTTTCCAATACCTGGTTCACATAGGGGACTTGGATTACAGCAAGGTACTTCAGGCTGAGTCCTGACATGATGGAGATGACCAGGGACCCTGGTTTTCTTTAATTAAAAATCCAAAATCCATTATTAAAATTAAAGGCCCCCCCAGCCCCCCCCAATGCTGCTGGTGCCCCTCACTCCCCCCCACAGCCTCCTCAGCCCTCCTGATGCCCCTCACTCCCCCACAACAACCCCCCCCACACACAGGCACAGACACTGTCATCCACCCCAGCAGGTAAGTGTGTGTGGGGGGAAGGGGTGGGGCAGGTCAGGGGAAAGGGAAAGTGCTGGAGAGGGAAGTGTGCCCCTGAGCCCACTCCCATGAGCAGGGTGGGGGGGTGAGGGCAGGGGTGCTCCTCTGTGCACCTCACACATGCTGGCTGGCCTGATGGGGGTTTGCACACAGCGGCCGCCACTGCAACTCTGCCGCTGCACCCTGCACTGCCTTCCCGTGGTTGGCTGCACAGCTTTGCGGGCAAGTGGTGTGGGGTGCAGCAGTGGCCACTGCATGTGGGCTGCACACATGCTGCCTGGCCAGTGGGGGAGGGTCGGGGGGACTTGCATGCAGTAGTCGCCACTGCTGCTGCTTGCCTGTGGAGCTGTGCCTGCGTGGAGGCAGCTGCTGTGCATGAGCCCCCCTGTCCATGGGCATGGCTCTGAAGACAAGTGGCAGCAGTGGTGCGAGGTGGTGGCGGCCAGCATGTGCAAAACCCCCTGTCCCTGCCAGGTGGCACACAGCTGTCATCACCACCACCATCCTGTGCTGCTGCTGCCACCGCTGCTTGTCTAAGGAGCCCCCAAACAGCCCACACTTTAACAAAGCAGATCATAATGTGCATGTTGGTTTGGATTTTCTGTATCTGATGTTACAGGTGACTTCAATTGAAAAAGTGACTTTTTTCTTCTATGCAGATAGTGCAGTTCTGATTACATTTCCCTTTCATGCAGTGATTGCATTACTTGTGCCTTTGACTTCTAAGCTAGGGACAGACAAAAAGCCTGAGCCTGAATTGATTCAATCTTTGCAGGTTAGTTTAACTTGGCTAGGCTAAGTCAGTTTTGGAACCAGACAGACATCCTAGAAAAGCCAGCACATGCCTGCAGTGGCTCAGGCTAGAAGTCAGGAGTCACTAGAGCAGCCCTCCTTTCCCTTCCACAGAGCTGAGCTGAGTAGGGCATGGCCAGGCCTCACAGGTGGCTCTAATTAGGGAGGGGTCCGTTCCTCCCCCCCCCCCCCCCCCCCCCCAACCCCCACAAAGAAATTTCATCCCCCCCAGCCCAGCAGAGAATGTTTATCACCCCATTAAGAAAACAGAGGGACATTACCAGCTATCTGTTGATTCTGCCTTTGTCCCAGGTGCCACAGGTAGCCAGCATGTGGGGTGCTAGCTAATACTGAGAGCTGTCTGAGGGACCGGGGAATGTCTGCTTAGCAGAGAGTGGGGAGTGGCTGGGGGGAGCAAGCAGGTGCTGCTGTACCTGCAAGTTTCTGCCAAAGCTGTAGCCAGGGAGCAGAGGGGAGGGGCCAGCTCTGCTGTGGTGCAGAGAGCCCTGCCAAGCCCAGAGAGCATGCTGGGATGCTGGGGGAGTCTGGTATAATTTTAAACAGCAAGGGGTATGGGACAGATTGCATAAACCAGTTTGAGCCAAATCAGTTAAGTCTGATACTACATTCAACAGGTGTATCTCAAACCGATTTCAGCCATTTTTGAACTGGTTTATGTGGACTGAACATCTATTCTGTTACAGGTTTAAACCAGCTTCTGATCACTAAACAAGTTCATGTGTAATGTCTGTCCCTAGCCTATAACACACACAAAAAGGTTAATAATTCAGTTTTATACTGCCCAGTAATTTTCTGTACCTTAGTAGCATGTGGAATCCAAGTTTCAAGCTATGGTACCTATATTGCATGTGTAACAAATGGATGCTTTGTTAAAATGTGTCTAATGGAAATATTTTTTATAAGCCCAACATTTTTTTTTCAGTTTTAGATCATGCTCATCATTTGTATGTTAGATTTAGAGAAATTCTATGTACAATTCAAGGTATTATGTTATAATTTTGCTAGATGTAACATATGAATGATGATTGTGATCTAAATCTATTCCTCCAAACAGATGAAACCCCCATGTTTTGTTCTTCCTTTCTTTTTTCTTATATTTCCATTATTTTAAAAAGAAGCATTAAAAATATTTTTCCTTCAGGAATTGTTGCTCCAATACAGAAAAGGTTATTTTACAATAGTAGTATGAAACCATTGGTCCTTCTGAATCATGGTGCATGTGTGAGAGGGCACGAGGATCTTTGATGCATATGCCTAGGCAGGAGAATGGAGAAACTATACAAGTTGAAGAAATATACTGGAATAGGCTTTCCTTTAAGTATTAGAACTCTGTGTGGCACAAAGAAGGAAATGTTTGTTTAAGCTAAGGTAAATCCAGGAAAAAATTATGTAATAAAAATATTTTAATGTTATTTAAATAACCTTCTCAAGAGATACAGTCAAATACTTTCAGGTCTTCTTTTTTATCTAAGCTTTCTTCCCTTTCTCCTCCTCCCCTTCCCCTTTCTCTCTCTCTCTCTTTTTTTTTTTTTAAGTAAAGTAAATCAGCTTTATTACAGCTCTGTTCATGTTATCCTTAACACAAAACTACAAAGATTACACTAGATGGCAGCATTTGCTTTAAATATAGAATTATTTCAATCTTTGGATAAATTTCACCTTTAGAAAAAATCCAAACAAAAATAGAAAAAGTGTAGGCAGATATTCTCATTAACTTAAATGAATTCATTTTAAGTTTTCTAAGCAGATAGTATTAAGGAAAGTGGAAAGCAGAGATATACTTCATCAGGACTTTTAATATGCTGTAGGGTTCCTGTAGATCAGAGGTTCCCAAAGATTTTATGCTGCGGCCTGGCAAACTGCAGCCCGGAAGTGGCCACAGCTTGTCAAACTGCAGCCCAGCAGTCACAGGTCACCATGGCCAGAATTTCTGGCCGGCAGACAGGTAAGGATACCCCCACCCACCAGGTGGGGGGGTGGGCCAAACTCTGTGCTGCTGCGGGTCCTGCAGAAGGAGCCACGGCTTCCCCACCTGGCTCTGGGAGTGGGGGGGGCTCAGTTTGCTGGTCTGTGGCCACTACCGGTCCAGCAGCCAACCATGCTGCAGACCGGCAGCTGACCTGACATGGCCTGGCACCAGGCGACGGCCTGAGGACTGAGAACCCTGCTGTAAACTGTACAATACTTATGTTAGAGGTGAGAATGGCAGGCCTTTCTGTTTATGGCTGTGTACAAACATTCACTTCTAGTGGTGGAAAATTTCCACCACAGGAAATGATTTTGGGAGAGGGAACAATGCAGGCATTGTGACTCCACAACTGCCTCTGGTCCCCTGAGACTGGGGTGATTCTATTCTGTTCTGGGGAACATTCCCAGGGGAAACTGTAGCAGCAGAACAAAGCCCCCTGCCTGCTTCTCGTGCTACAGACCCTGGTATGAGAAGCAGTCAGGGGGCTGCACTTGGCTCCCAGTCCCCAGCAGCCAAATGAACAGAGCAGCATGGCAAAGCCCCTGCCTGCTCACACTGGGAACATAGGTGTGAGAAGTAGGTAGGGAGATGTGCTGCTCCTGGCACCCAGCTGCAGAGCCCCAGTGCAGCAAAATTCCTGCCTGTGTCTCGCTCTGGGAACTCTAGAGTGGGAAGCAGCTGGTATCTACTTATTCCCTCCACTCCAGCCTATGAGAGGGGTGGGAGCAGCTGTCCTCCACCCCTTCTCCAAACCAGGGTGACCTCAGTCTTTGGAAGGCACAGGGACCTTTTTCCTTTCTCCACTCTTCCTGGACCCCAAGGGAAAGGTGTGCTGGGAGAAGCTTCAGTCTCCAGGGAGAAACTATCCTGCAAGTAATTTTTACCTGGTTAAAGTTGGGTTCTTTTTTCGTGGAATCACCATTTTTGCTTTCGGAACAAAAGCTTGAACATCTGCAGAATTTTGGTTTCTATTTGGGGAATAGAGATTCTCCCAGTAGAAATTGAATGTCCGTACATGGCAAGCGCGCGTGCGTGCTTGCGTGCATGCGTGCGTGTGTGTGTGAGAGAGAGAGAGAGAGAGAAGGATCAGGTGCTACTTGTTTGTAGGCACTGAGAATTTCTGATTTTATCTATCTTACAAAAAGTAATTTTATTCAAATATTTTAAATTTTCATCCCCCCCCCCCCCCCCCCCCCATGTTTTAAAATGGCCGCAGGTGTGCGTTAATTAATGCTCGTCAAATGAGCTTTAGATAATGCGCCCTGTGGCCATTTTAAAAAATGGAGGGCTTAATACACGTGACAGTGAGCCA